GGCGTCGTGGATGCCATTTTCATGATTATCGGATTATAGTTATGCGCTAAGAATACAAACTGATGCAATACGGATGAAAGCAATTGTGAAATGGTATAGATAACTGCTATATTGTTGGGTCACTTCAATAGGAAGGACGCTCAAAAGAAAAACTTTAGTGTAATAATAGTCTCTAACGAAAGACATCCAGGATACACTGAGAGTGGCCGTTGCTAACGCGGTGTTCTATGTCACAAGGTCATTCTATCGAATGACACAGGACATTTCAAGGGCCTTGTTTACATTTTACGTAAGGTCAATACTCGATTATGGCTTACCAGCTGCCTGTCCACTCTCAAAGTAAGAATGAACCCTGAATGAAAAGCTAATGAGGCATGTATCGAAGTTTGGCTTTCGATTTCGGAACCTCCCTAACTCCTGCGCATCCAACAAATGAACCACTTCTCGCTGAACTACCGTCACCACTACGGAGACCTGATCTTCACCAGGCGCATATTAAGGGGCGTAGTTGGAAAGGAACTAACACAGTTTTTCCAGCTCATCACAGTAGGCTCGACATGAGTTCACGAACTGGCTTTTTTGTTCAATCTACTGTCGCCCTATCCACCCGGGTGATGGACGACTGGAACCGTCTTAGGTAAAATGTTGGTACTGTTCAGTTTGAGAAAAGTTTCAGGCGCCTGCAGGACTCCAGCTTGAGTAAGACACCAGTATAGCACTGTTCTGCTGCGACTGCCCCAGCCCCCTAGGAATGTTGGACTTAACAACTAAAGTGCTGTTATGAACTGGAGATGATGAAACTCGTATGGGACTTCCCTCTGCCCTCTACAACTCAATGAGCGTTTTGAAGACAGATTACCAGTCAAGTCCACATCGTACATAGTATATCAATTACATAGGGTATATGACGCGACGTCGGTCAGTGCGGATAGCTAAGCATTGCACATATACACTGTGGATACGCACAGTCAAAAGCACCAACACCTGTATCTTGGATCATTTAGTTCAAAGTAGCCAGAAAAGGCATCAGTAGTACTCCGGCACGCCATATCGACCCTTCGGTGCCGCTTAACCGCCATCAATCGAGCGTGGGATGAGAAACAGCGGGGGTCGCCCGGTGCCCTAAGCAGGCTCGAGCCCGTAACCACTGGATTAGAAGGCAGCCTTGTGATCCTTAAGGCAACAGGGCTGGATCAAAGTGGCCAAGAACATCTCCAAGGTCTACTGTGCCTTACCAAGGTTAAGAAAAAGCTTTCTGCAGACGGCTGAAGCGATTACGATCAGGCTAACACAGCTAGAGCCATACAAGTAGTGAGTCTGTAGGCAATTTCTCAGCTTGTCATGCTCCTAGCGAGAAATCGTTCACACGGAGCACTAGGACGACCGAGTGAGATTTTCTCACCTGTTTGTTTGACGCAAGTGCGTTCCGTGCGTAAGCAGATGAGCACTGTAGCGAGGATGGTCACCTGAGTCGAACCACTTGAGTATCGAACGAATGCAGCAGTCTTATGCAAGCTGTCTCAACTGTTTTCAGTCCGGTTTTCATCAGCGTATTCGGTCTCTAACATGCTCGCGATTGTACTTGCCTGAAGTGAAGTGTCGAAAACAGATCACTTCGTAACATTGAATAACCCTGGGCTCTTATTTTTCCATGGATATTTTGTACGAGTAACAGGTTGGATCGGTCAAGCATAAAACCCATTACCTGACAGTGAGCAAACCAGAAGTTTGAGTGAACAGGTTGTCATCCGGGTAAGAAATTTTAATCGGAGACCATTTCAAGGTCAAGCGCTGGCTAGACACCTCGCTGGATTTAAGTTAGCTGGTCGTTTGGAGAAGGTAGTACACAGCTACATCATATGAACCGTCAGTGTAAAAAGCCAAGATGCACAAAATGGAACTGGAAGAATCCCAACAACTTGGCGAACATAAGAAAACAGGAGCATCAATTGTAAAGGTATAGGCGGGGGGAGGACATACCGTCTCCGTGTCAAGTGCCTTTTCCCATCGTAATCGTTCGAGCAATTTATGTGCGCAGCTCCCACTCGTCTTTGTGCGTTCGATTACTTGTTGATAAGGTGATACTTTCTGCGTACCCATCACGATGAGGCCCTGTGGACGAGTGAGGGATGAGACAATACACAGACGCAGAAGTGAGAGAGTTGGAATATCGCGTAGGAGTGCCGATAGCAAAATGTATCTGTATACTAACAAGTCAGTGTCCGTAAACATGTGTTTGTGGAAAGTTTGTGGACTGTTTGTGCCGCACAGAGGAGGGGAGAAGTAGAATCGATGGAAAGATGAATTAATTTGGCTGCACTGCTGACAATACACATTGACAAATGAACAGGCAAATCAACCCCGATGTAAGCAAAATAAGACAAAACTGTTCCGTTCGGCTCGTTGACTTTGATTCCACCACCAGTGTTATAGATGTAGTCGACTAAGATAACGTGACTATAATATTAATAATAATAACAACAACAATAAAACAAGTATTAGAATTATTATTATTGTAGTTACAATGTTGATGAGCAGTGATTATACGCTAGTGCTTGCTCGTGGCCATCGCCAAGGTACCGCAAGGCTTTGTCCAACCCAGAGCATTTCGGATGAACGAGACAAGCCGAAGTAGACGCCAAGCAGAACGCAACGAATGTACATCGGACGACGTAAGCAGAGCAAATAGATTAGCTTGATCTACGGAATAGGCAGTGGCCTATCTCATTAGTTATTTGACGGCAAAAATAATATGGTTATGAAAGACAACTGCCATGGTCACCGGTTGCAATTGACTTTTGCATGCGGGTGCAATAACAGTCTCAGATGGCGACACGGCAATCGAAGTCGGGGCCATTTGGACATTGTCTGATAGGTCCGGACGATTAGAGATCACCAAAAAATCACTTGGATTGCAAGCAGCGCGGATAGAATTGGAAAATGAGTCCAATCAACCATTGATATGCAACGGAAATCATGTCTTCGGTTGCCGCTGTCTTTCTTCCGCTCACCTAAATTCCTAACCATTCCTTACCGTTCCGAGACAGTCCAATCAGCAATAAAAAAGCGTTCCGAACGTACGCGATCGAAGAAGCGTCACACAATTACTTCTTTCCATATCAGTCAAAAGTTAGACGGATCACGGTTGTTTCTGAATCAAGGCCGTAGACAAATGCGTTAGGAAAACGAAGTTGTACATTAACCGTAATGGTGGAAGAACACAAACATTAAAAAAAGGAAGAGAGGGTGAGTAACGTCAAATCGCACCTAGATCTGGGAAATCCCAAAAAGGGTTACTTTAATTGCTTCATCGTGATTGGTGTCTCGAGCTAAATTGCATTTTCCCAAAACTTCCCAAGGGGGACTTATACTGTTCGATGTGAAAGCATACACAGAGATGTGCACAGACCAGTCGAGCTCAAAGTGACAGCTCCTGGAACAGGTGAGTTTGACGAGCGGAGTGCGATAACAGGGATTAACAATAAGGGAAGAAAAATGAACCGAGAAGTTGCGGCAGCAGAACGACGAGTAAACGTCGAATAAGTTGCTAGGTACAAGCAAAATACCCATGGTAATGCAAGCCGTAGATAACGCGAATAAGTCTAAATAAAAAGTAGCATGCCTGTCGGGTCATGAGTAGTGGGACGGCGATACCGAAACGAAGGCTGGGAGATAAATTCATTCGCCGTGATGTGCAATCAGGTTGAAAAGTAACGACCAACCCTTAAATAAGAGTAAGTTGATGGCAATATGTTAAACGCGACCAGATACCTAGAAAAAACAGGGAAGTGACAGAAAGGTCCATGGGACAACAGTACAACGCGATCCTTAGAACGGTAGCCTCGATCAAGAAGGAACTCATTCAAAGCCTACGTCTTAAAGACAGAGAATGACCATTTCATTGGAGTGTTGTAAAACTAAACAGGTGAACAGGCGGCTACATGAAAAAGGGCAAGCATGACTGTGCAAATTACAAAATTTTAAGTTGATAACCTACATAATAATTAAATTTCCGAAACGTGAGACGGCGCCCTAGAAGTGCCAGTACGATGCGCTAAAATGTCAGAATGGGAGTGCGCAGACAATTAACTGAGGTGAATTGGAACCGCGTCGGTGTGCGGAGCAGACTTTTACGTGAGCAGAGAAGTGTTCGGTGCTGCTGAGTGAGAACAGCCCCAACGTAAAAATAAATCATCTAGGCAAAAACGACTAGCAGCTAGATGAAGCATGGAGTGAAATGACAGAGCAAGAGAAATGAAGTGGAAAAAGACCAGGGGTACGCAGAGGCTTGAATACAGTGAGATCTCTGTATTGATTCAACTCAAGGAGTGAGGAAGCACTGAACGTAAAGCCGAAGGATTCGGTAACAAATGTAAAGCACATGTGTAAATGCAGACCGTGACAATGTGATACAACCAAAGGTACAGAAAAGTAAAACAGTGAATGAGGGATGCTAGATTGGTCAAGACTGAGACCTAAACGAATGGTTTGTACACATTTGGAGTCCTTTCGAGGCTAGATCCACTAAACCCACTGCCACCAAAGTATCCCACTTTGAATCATAGTAAGACTGCCCTAGAGAAATCCCGAAACCACGCGTTACAGAAAAGTAAAGATTAATTAATCAGTCCTTCTGGATAGTCGCTGTAGCAACAGTGAATAGGTAACGGTAGGCTTATGTGGATTATAGGTGGAAATTCGTCACATCTAGACGCACTCAGACAGCCGTCACACACCCAAGAAAGCACTGTACGCGCGTTTCATCCTTTCGGGAATCGTCAGCAGTGTGCACTCCATCGAACCCTGGTAGGGCTCGAACCCGCAACTCGACTGTTGCCAGTCCGTGGTTGAGACCACTGAGCTACGGATTAGACTGCGTCAACTTGTTACAGAAAACCTTGACGTGCATCATTTGGGGGCGAAAGCATCTGACAAGAAGTCGCACCGAACGATAACCCAAAGGGACGTGTACGAGCGGCAAACAAGCACGTGCCGCCTAATAGTGAACTTGAAATAGTGTGACATGAAGAAAGGAAACCATGACTAGTAAGGCACATATCAGCGGTGACAACCAGAATGTCACCCAACATGACAGCCATGTTTCATTAAAGGCACTTATCAAAGGTGAGCAGCAGTTCATACCTGCCTTTTAAAGTACTTACACATAGTTTACTGTTAATTCAGTGGCAAGGATGGGGTAGATGATAACACAAGGCGGTTTCTGCAAGCCCTGAAATATGGGTGAGCAGGATGCAGCTGCGACACATGAATGGGTGAGTAAAATGGTTGTCGCACGCGGGGCAACAGCTCAAGGACCCAAGTGTGATTCAAATCAACAACCACCCCGCGCCAACCGCTTATGCGTCAGGAGTGTGGCAGTAGCTGGTTAAAGCGTCGGAAGAAGGGGAAAAGTGAGGGCTGAAATGCAGTTGTTTGAAAATGAGATATTTCCATTCGCTCCTTATCCCAAACATGCACCAGGCAAATGACATCAGCTTAAGCTACAAATGCGCTTCGCGGTGAATGATGATATGGTCAGTTATAAGGTACAGATCACAAAGCCGCTGAATTTTCGCGCTTAACACAAAGATTAGATGGTACGATAATGCACGACCAAAATGACTTTAACAGGCATTTGCCTCTCTGATAAGGTATATTAACATCAAAGTGAATGCGGTGTTACGGCACCAGTTCGTGATCAGGCTTGCGCCCAAAAGCGTTCATGGACAGAAATGACTGGACTATGTCCACGGAGATATGTGGTAAAGATTAAAGCAAAAACTGTTCAAGCGGCCATTCCGTATCTTCGTTTACTCATCAACATGAAACAGCGGATTAAATACGCTGACGAAAAGCGTAAACACAGTCAACAGAATAAATGGGTAAATTACCTGGATCTGAGGAAAATAGTATCAGGAACACACACACAAACATCACGAAAAGAGTGAGTTTCTTACAGAGAACTCCGTAGTGTGACAGTTTACGTAATTCTCCAAACTATCAAGCTATAGTGTGTGGTGTCCCCCGGCCCCCGTCGCAAAGAGACTGGACCTTAACGTGGTGCGACGGTTTGCGTACCTCATTGACCCATTGAGCTATACTGGGTGATGCCTCCAAGCATCTTGAGAGCTACTCCTACCAGGTTGGTCAATGGTGAGAGGTCAGACAAACTCAGTCTCCTGGTCCTCTAGGTTGGGGGTTTGAAATGGGATGGCGTCCATTTCTATAAAACTAAATCACTGCCACCCCGCTGCCTTGCGGACAGGCTTTTGAGCCAAAGGCTTTGGATGAGGACCCTAATCGTCCTCCTGTCTAGGTCTGCGCACCCTGGCAGTATCCCAGCCCACATACAACCATGACATTTTCTTCAAACATAAACTTCATCCTGCATCGGCCGTCGCGCAGATTATCAAGGGTCGCCTTATCTGCTGCATACAGCAGGGCGGATAAGCGAAAACATGCTACTGCTGGGGCCTCCCTTCTTTCTTTTCCACCTTTTTCTCTTACTCCTATCCCGACCCCCATTACTAACCTTCCTTCTATAATTCCCAGCTTAATTGACAGCAACCGAAGTGCTACTGGAGTAGTACCATCTGCAGCCACCATCCCACAGCAACTATCGGACACCTAACGGCAAAATTGCCTTATAAGGCCACGCTATCCCGTTTCCATGGCGACATTCAACGTCCGCACTCTAAGACAAACAGGTCAGCAGGCTGCACTCGCACGCACCTTGGACACACTGGGTGTTGATGTGTGTTGTGTGTCCGAAACTAGGATCAATGACCTTAACGGGGTTATTGAATTGACTGCACCCGGCTTATCCTCTCGTTATTGGTAGCACGCATCCGGAGACGCCGATGCAGCACTCACGGGTCAACCTGGTGTAGGTATCATTCTAAGCTCCAAGGCTGAGTCATCATTGGTTGATTGGATTCCGGTGAACAGCCGTTTATGTGCAGCCCGTTTGACGACATCAGCTAAGCTGAATTCGCGAAGTAAAACAAAACGCTGTTTGTTTGTGATTTCCGTTTATGCTCCCACCGGCTGCAGTTCTAATGCAGTCAAGGACACTTTCTACCACGAACTGAACGCCCTACTACGCAGTGCTA